AAAAAAAAAAAAAGCCAAATTATCTCAATGAGTGGTTATATTGTGCATCAGCAAGAAGCAGAAGGAAATTGTGCCATGCACTCAAGAAAATAATTTTGGCCTTTTGCATAATTTTCTCATTTCAATAAATGCTTATTGAATGTATATGATGTACAATGTTCTGTGCTCAGAAATAAATGGAGCACAAATATAACTTAGTCACAGGCCTTCTTCCAACTGTTAGCAAGTAGAAGTACCCAAATAACCAAACCAGCACATACAATAGGATACAGTTCTAACAACATACATATAAGCAACATCAATTGTGCCTAAATTTATAAAGAGTTCATAGCAGTATGTAGAGATTACAGAAAAAGCTTAAGAACGAGGTTAATTTGAGATAGTTCTTAATATCCGGATAGGATTTTAATTAATAATAAGAAACATGAAGGTGGAGAAGGATTGGCAAAGGGGAAAAGGAAATGTCAACCAAAGTAAAAAAGTGAATGAAAACATGGAGAAACAAGAGCTACTATTAAGGGAACTCAATAATTCAGTACAATTTAAAAGAAGCATAAAATATATGAAAGAGAGTCAAGTGGAATAAAGGATACCAAGCAAGGAATACAAAAAAAGAAAAGGAAACGTTAACAACTTCATAGCCTAGTTGGATTAAAAACATATATTTGGATTAAAAACAAAACAAAAACTCTTCGCTTCCAGGACAAACTTTAGGGCTGTATGAATCAGTATCTTTCCCTTCTTCTCCTGGAAATTATACAAGCACGGCCAGGAAAACCGAGGGAAACTAACTCAGCAAACAAATTACACTTTCAGCAAAACTCAAAGAGAGATGTAATCTGCAGCCTACAAAATATGGAGTAAGGCAGCCAAACAGCTGAGATTGGGCAAAAGTTACGCAGGAAGACGTGAAGAGTATTGAGAGCGTAAAAAGGTCAGCAGCAGCACCTCAGTGCAAATGCTTTATCATTTGTTTATGTCTACGTATACTAAACAGAGGTGAACAAGGCTGGGAGCAGAGGTTCACCCCGCTTTGGTTTGGTTCAGAGAATCAGAGGAAGCAGAGCTACCTAAAGTATCACACGAGTCATTTTTTGCTAAAATTAGTCTGCCCTGATGTGTTCAAAAAAATTGAAGACCACCCTGATCCCACAACTCAACCTCTCATTTAGAGACCTGCTACATATTTTAAGTCTAAAAATATCCAACTCATTTAAGCTAATTAATTGAAATAGGGAATTCTAAAACTAGTATGGCACAAACAGAAGGTTTTGTAAGCAAACAAACAAAAACAAATCAAATTGAAGAAAGTGCAGCAAAATTAATCAATACATGAACCACCATCAGAAAAATGTCACCACTGCACAGAAAAATATTGTTACCAAGCATGTTGACAAAAACTGAATTTAAAAACTTGAAAAGCCAATTGCCTCTATGAAGGAAGATCACAGCAGAAGTGAAAGGACTCAGGGAAGGGATAAAGAAACGAGGAAGTGATGAACTGTGAGGTGGCAGAACTCAGGAGAAAAAATCAAAATCAAAAGTAATTAATAAAATTTGGAAGAGAATGAATTGGACAGAAAAATAGTAGGTATTGAAGATAGACAAAATATAGATAATGACAAATACATAATTGTAGTAGGTCCTTAAGAAAGAAAATCAAAATATAAATAAAATAGAATTTATAGGCATCATTTAATAAAACATTCCTCAAATAAAAGACAATCTGACATATATAGAAAGACATGCTGTGTGTGTATATATATATATTTATATAAAAAACAGTGATTATATATATATATATATTACACAGGGATAATATATATATATTACACAGGGATAATTGACTCGGAATACTCAAAACCAAGTCAAATCCTAGTAAACTTCGTAGACTTTAAAGATAAAGAGAATTATTTGGCAGCCATACAAAATAATCAAGTCACTTCAAAGGAGAAAAATATTTGTCTTGCATTAGATGTCTTCACAGGAATGATCAATACCAGAGGACAGTAGAACAACACCTACAAGATAATAAAGGAACGAATGTGTGAGCTAAGAATGTAATATACATCCAAGCTGTTCTTCAAATCCAAAAACTATAAATTGTTTCAATATTCAATTCAGGGACTATTGTTCTCAAGAGTCCTTTCTGAAAAAATTACTAAAAGTTAAACAGAGAAAGGACTGAGGAAAATTTTAAAAAATAACTTGGTGGTGATCACTGAAGATATTTAAATGTAGAAGTGAAATTAAAACAATGTAGGGTTTAGGATGACAAAGTAGAAGGTAAATGCCACATGCCAGATAATGTACATATGATACAATTGGCAAAAATTGGGAGGGTAAGGGAGAAGGAAGCCTCATTTATGGTAAATCAGAGATGAAAAAATAAAACTGACAAGTATAAATAAATTTTAAAAAACAAAAGCAAGCACAAAGAAAGATCGTATTGTTGAATAAAATTCTGTGAAACAAGAAGGGGAGGGGATAAGGAAACATGCTTATTCTCTCATCATTCAGCATGGATCTAATAGTCACTGTCCTCAGAAACAAAGAACTAGAAGAATTATATGAACCTATGATTACAAAGGTAACCACTAGAACACATATATATACACACAACCCCAAATAAAAACAAAGAAAAAATTACAGATGCAGTGAAGACTTAAAAAACATATAACCAATAAATAGAATAAAAGAGTCTGAGAAGTACAAAACCAAAATATCTAACATATCAATAAGTTCAAATGTGCTGAATTTCTGAATTTTAGAAAAAGCATTTTTAATTGGATCAAAAACAAAACCTATATATCTAAAATAAAGTGATTGAGGAGATTTTTAATAAAAGGATGGGAAAAGTATATCAGGCAAATGAAAACCAAAGAAAGCAGGGGTCAAAAATCTAAAATCATGGGCTGAACCCGAGTCTCATTCGGGAGAGTGTGGTGCTGGGAGCGCCGAGGCCACAGGTTTGGATCCTATATAGGGATGGTCGGTGCACTCACTGGCTGAGCGCAGTGTGGGCGA